AAGTAAGAACTTAAGTAAAAAAAATAATTATATATAAAAATAAATATGCAAAGATAGATTTTTTTTAAAGAAAAAAATAGAATAAATGAAAGAAATTAATAGTAATAAAGAAGAAATTGAAATGATTAGAAATATACAATATACTTGATGTGTTAAATTTATATGATGAAGACGATTTTTAGATTTGTGTAAACTTGGTTTAAAGGAAGAAAACAAGACTTTAAATCTGAAGGTTATAGAAAGAATTAATAATTAATTTTTAGAATAATTTCTAAATTAGTAGCAATATTAGATGCAATAAAAAAACTAATTTTAGATTATATTTGATAAAAAAATACTAGATAAAATATAAATAAAAGGTATTTAAAATAATTAATAGAAAGAATACAAAATTTGGATAAAATATATCAGTAGGATAAAATTGTAATCAAAAAGAGTCTTGAAGATTTTATTTTCATCTTTCTTTTTAACTTAGGATTTTTTTAATACTATTTTTTTTTAAGGTAGGATTGGAGCAAAATTACTTCCTAAAAAAATGTTGTAAAGTCAATGGATAATAGATTGAAGCTTTGTAAACCTTGGATAAAAACCAACAATGACTACTACTGATATATGACTTAAAAATCTATATTACAGAATTTTTATTTTAATTTATTTTAGAAACTTTAAATGTTATATTATATAATTTTTTTAAAATTATATTAGATTTATGATAAAGAGCCAAAGTCAAATTTATATTATAGATGCTTGAATTATTAAAGGCTATTAAATCTAAGATACTTAAAACAAGTAAATCCAAATTCTATATCTTTTAAGTTTTTTTTTATATATATTTTTTAGATTTCTAATATCTTAAAATATAAAGTTAAATTATATTTTTCATAAATTTTCAAATTAAAAGTATATTATGAATATCTTTAATTATTATAGGTTTTTAGAATTTAATTATATGGCTAATTATCTAAGCAATATAACACCAATCTTAAGATCTTTTGAAATAATCTTTAAGTCATCTTTGAAATTATAGAAATAATATTTTAGCACCAAATCATGTAATTTTTTTATATTCAACCTTATTTTATTAAAATATTTTTGATTTTTTAAATTTAATTAAGCTATTTATTTTAAGACCAAAAGCATATTTTTTAAAATATTTTTCTAAGGATTTACTATAATACTATTTTATTATATATTAACTTTCTATAGTAGTATTTTTATATTATTATATTTATTTTAAAATAATTTTATATATGAATTAATTACACTTCTTTTTTCAAATAAATCATGTTATTTTTTAATACTTTGTAAAATAATCACTTAATTTAATTTATTAGTGTTAAAATTAATATTAAATTTTTTTTAAAAAAAATTAATAAAATTTATCTTAATTTTTAGTTCATTATATTTATTTCAACACAGAGTATATAAAAGTGTTATTATTATTATTATTGCTATTATTATTATTTCATCTTATCATTGTTTTGAGATAACACGAAATTAAAATTCTTTATTTCTTAAAATTCTCTTCTTCTTATTCAATGAAGCTATATATTGTGCTAACTACTTAATCAACTTTAGTCCTACTAGAGCTAATCAAGATATTACTCTAAAATAGTTATTCAACAAGACCAAATTACATGTAGATCACTTAAGGATTTTTGGATTGCACATACAAAAATAAAGTAGTTCAAAGTTAAAAAGAAAAATAATCATATGCATATTCTTAAGATATAATGATGAATAAAGTAGATATCATAAGAATATGTATAAAACCTAATACATATCATATTCTTAGGATATACAAAAACCTATAGAATATTTGATCATACACATAGCAAGATTTGCATTACCAAAGACATAGTATTTGACAAAACTTTAGTAGGTTTTGATCATATCAAGACTAATACAAATCTAAAAGATAAAGAAGACTTGTTCTTGCATAATGATTTAATATTAAAAGACACAAGTGGTATAACAAATCAACAAAGAGATGAATAACCTCCTATGGCTGAGTATACTATATATGCGAAAGAAGAAAATATAGATTTTTTTTTATATTTAACACCAATAAATAGTTTAATCAAGCTTACCTCAAAAGATATACCTATGTGCACTCTTCAACAAACAACCACAAAATATAAAGGTCAAAGAAGGTATTTAGTTTGAAATAAAATAATTGATACTAAATTTAAAGATAGCTAAATGCTTACAATAGAAACTAATTATAAACCTAGAAACTATAAAGAAGCAATTCAACATATTGGATAGTAAGAAGTGACAGGACAAGAAGTAGAATCATTACAAAAAAATAGTACCTAGGTTATTGTTGATTTACCATAAGGTAAGACTTTAATATCAATAAAGTGAATTTTTAAAACTAATTTAGAATCTAGTAGCAAAGCTAAGAAATTAAAAGCTAAAAATATAGCTTGTAGATATAAACAAAAGAAAGATTTTTTATTTTTTAAACCTCTATACTTATAATTGGATGGTCAACAATTAAAGGTGTCATCACATTAGTAGTCAAAGAAAATTGAAATCTATAATATCTAGATATAAAAATAATATTTTTTAATAGAAAATTAGAGGAAGAAATTTATGTGATATTATATTTAGGATTTAAAGAAAGAAGAATTAAAGATAAGTTTTGTAAGCTAAAATAAGCTATGTATGGATTGCATCAAACTTTTAGAGCCTAATATGGACAAATTTATACCTATCCAGAAGATTAGAAACTTTAAAAAAATAATAAAGATCCAAATATGTATTTTATTTTTTAACATAAAAATTATACTATATTATTATATGATGTAGACAACATTACTATCAAAAGAGATAATGCACCTCACATTCAACAATTCAAAGACAAATTTATGAGTACCATTAAGATGACTAATTTAAGAGATGCAAAACTTTACTTAAGGATTGAATTGAAATATATAATTGAAAGAATATACTTCCAATAAAGATGATGCATTCAAACCTTATTAGATAGATTTGAATTGATCCATCGTAAATCCTCTTTAGTACTAATGAATTAAAAATCTAAACTATAAAAAGAAACTGCAACATTTATAATCAACCACAAACTATATTCAAATCTTGTTAGGGAGTTGTTCTATGCAACTATAAATTATTGAGATATTAAGTTTGTAGTGGACAGAATATCAAGGTATATAAACAATCCATAATTTATTCACTTGATTGTAGCAAAAAAAGATAATACAATACCTCAAGGATATCATAGATCATGGAATCTTCTACTCCTCTAATGACAAGAGAGGATTCATTACTTTTGCCAATACATACTAAGCATGAGATGTTCACTCTTGTAAATCTATATTAAGCATATTCTATAAATTAAGATCAGTTCCAATAACATGATTGACTAAGTTCTAATCAATAATCACATTTCTTTTGACAAAATTGTCTTCTATTAGAAGCCACCTACAACATTACTTACTTTTGCAAACTACTCAAGGAATTTTGCTTAAATGACAAGAATCCCTCACTATTAATATCTAATAATATAAGCAATATAAAGCTAGTTTGCAATTCACTCATATATCAAAGGATAAAACATATAGAATTGGACCTCCACTATATTAGAAACTAACATCAAGACAAGATAATTGAAGTAAGATACACCTCTATACATTCACAATAAGCCAACATTTTCACAAAGACTTTAGATTTAGTAGAATTTATTGAAAATAGAAAATTGGCTAGATTAAAAGTACTACTAATACAATATATAAAAACAAAAAATAGAATATAATGTTAGCTAGTATAATTGAAGATATTCCTCTACTTTTTTGTGATTCCTAAACTTCTTAAATTCTTCTCCTCTCTAACGTTGAACTTATTTCCTACATTCTGACCATGACATAAATTCCTACTTTATACTCTCAATGTATAGCATAAAATCTTTGAGAATCTACAATAGTAGGAATCTCATCCTTAAGTAATTCATTTGATTGCACCACTTAGGAGGTCATACCCTCAATTGAAGAATAATCAAGTCTATTCTTTCTTTTACTCTACATTTTACACAACTTTAACCAATATAAGATAAAGCTTAATAAAGAATTGCATACACTTTAAAGCATTACTATGACGAGTCAAATTTTTTTAAAAAAAAAAAAAAAAAAACTTGAAATTGAATACAATCAAGTATCAATAAATTTTCTTATTATAAAAATAAATTGAAAAAATAAAATAAAAATAAATAAACAAATAAATGCAACAACTAATCAAAGTTAACTTGTCAACCATATAATAAAATTGCTCGATTGCCTTGCTCAAAGTAAAATAATAGAATGCCATTACAAAACAAATGATGAATGTAGATTGAAAGAAAGTATTGGTAATATCCAATCTATACTTATTTTCTTGTGATAACATTGCTTCCTCATGCCACCTTTGCACTTAAGTTGCAAACACGTTACTTCTCACTTGAGCTATACTATAATGTAAGTAGAAGTTAATTTGCTCTTTGTCCATCCACTTGCTCCATGTGGACATTGGGAGAGACTTCCCCTCAATCTAATTTTAGGATTAGTTAAAATACTTCTTATATTTACCTTGATTAAATTAAATAAATGTATGAAGTGTCACTTCATCAAATGAAATTGCAAATTACTTGAGTGTGCTTTGCAACACATTCTACTTGTTGCCCTTGTGTGCTTGTAGTAACTCATGCATGTAACAAACTATGTATGAACAACTCCTAGTTTCATCTATTTAGCTTTCATCAGATTCATTTCTCGACTGAGCGCATGATTTATCAGTCTTTGTTTAATCGCCGGCAAAGTGCATGCACAGGCTTTAATTATTTGCTGCTCCTGTCTCATAATAGAAATGATCTCTCAATAATAATCTACTTTACCAAGTGGCGTATGGATTGTAGACTCCGTCTTTCAGTTGCAGAGCTGGGCATTTGTCTTTATCAAAGGCGACCCATTCTTGGGTAGCTTGCCAGTTATCTTTCATAAACAGACATCATCTTTGCTGCCAGCCACAGTTATTGCTTCGAAGTTCCCATAACCTCTTCTCTTTAAACTCAGCTATGGAGCCAATTTTGATTCTACAATTGAGTCATTGTTGGTGTTCGAGGACATCATGGATTTGTTGCAAGCTGAACTGTGAGTTCGGTCTGAATGGTGGCGGTGTTCTGAACGATTGATCATCAGACTGAGATTTGCAGGCTTGTTGAATATAAGACGCTGTTCTCTTCACGACTTCCAGCTTCACGTGTGGATGGAGAGGTGGTGCGTTTATCAGGATGGCGAACATGAATGAGTCGTGTTAATCAACTTTGACTCGATTCTGTAGTTGTATTTCTGAGTATGGGTGGACTGTGGTGAGCTGAGTAAATATTGTCGAGTTTGAGTGCTGGTTTTTGGCGCATGCATGCATTTGGGTGCTGGGACGGACGTTGAGCTTTTGCGAGATTCTAAGCTTGTGGTTATGACATGAACCATTTTGCATAAGCCCGTACCATATATCTTAGGTCTAGAGGAAGTCATCGCCATATGTTTTGGTGATAAAGAAGGGGGAAAGGGAAAAGTCATGAGAGAACCAACGAGAATATGAGGGTTAGGCTGCTGAAGTTTTGTCAACATTTGGAATTGCTCTGCTCAGGTCATGAACACATACACATCGCCATATGTTTTGGTGATGAACGTGAACAAGAATGAGAATGGGATTCAAGGAGAGGGTAAGCTGGGCAAGAAGGGTGAAGGCATTGGCAGTGCGGACAATGACAACGAGCAGAACAACGCCAACAACGATAACTACAAGACTGGAGGACCCGCAGTGCAGGCAAGTATTCACACAAGCATCCAGATCTTATTAACCTCTTTTCGTTTGTCAAGTTCTGTGATGGCTGTGAGGATAGTTGATTCAAATTCTGTCAGAGGATAACCACTAATTTACTGAAGAATCACTGATCTATCTGCTGCAGAAACATGACTACAATGTGAAGATGTGCTGCTTTAAATGTGGAGAAGATCCTGGAGGAATCTCGGTATCTCTTTGGTAAAACTATATCTCTCCATTTGGACGCCTTGAAAGTCTCATTTCGACCATTGTTGCTACAGAGAATAAATCGACATTTACATTGTTCACCCATGCAATACGTCTTTGCAGGATTAGGTGTGTTGAAGTTGCTCCTGCTTGAATTATTATTATTATTATTATTATTATTATTTTTGTGCTCACCAGAGGATGTGTTGAAATGACGCATGCAGGTGTGCAGTCAATGATCATCGACCGGGGCGTCAGCAAAGTCAGTGTGGTTGGAAAATTTGATCCTTTGATATTGCTGAAGAAGTTTAAGAGGAACGTTGACAAGAAGGCGTGCTTCTGGGCTCAGGAAGCGAAGAAAGAGTGGGCTGGAGGCTCCAAATATGGAAAAAAAATATTGTCAGAAGCAGAGGGCAGGGAGCGATGGCAGCAGCAACATGAGCAATAACAATAACAATGGAGGAGGTGAGAAGAAAAAAGGGGAAGCTAGCGGTGGCAGTGGAATCAGCAGCAACCAACAAAACTTTAGGGGAGGACAGAGCTGTAATAATGCTCCTAAATACAACAACAACAATCGGCTGAATGGTCGAGGAGGAGTTGGAGGTGAAATTGCTCATAAGGATAAGAAAAGTGGAGATGGAGAAGTAAAGGTGAAGTGTAATGGTGGTGGCAGTGGCGGTGGCGGCAACAATCACAAATACAACAGCCAGAGAATGGAGCACCCACCAATGGTTTTCCAGCAGCAAGAGTGGGATTTCGGAGGCTTTCCACCCCTTCGAGGCTATGGGGGAGGAGGCTACCCTGGTTATCATTCCCATGAGACGCATTTTCAGCCCAAAGCCTACTATTCTAGCGATTACAGGCCCAGCCAGTCCTATCTTGCGGATTTTCGCAACATGGACTACTTCAGCCAGCCTGTCGCCAATCCCAATTACATGAAGAGCATCATCTACTGAACATCATCTACTTAGAATTCTGGAAGTGTCCGGGGAGGATTTGATAATCAGGATCAAGATGGAGTAAAGGACACAAAACTTAACCTGGTTACTTGATGCATGCAAATTCGTAACGGTCAAGATGGGATTTACCGTAATTAATGCCGTGAGTTGCTTCACGATCACGAATAAAAATTAAGAATGGATGAAAGTTTAACAGCCCTGCGCGTTTCAATGCGCGGGTCTCCACAATTACAAAGTTTTCAGTCTTTGCAGATCCATCTGCTGGAAATTGTCGCCATATTCCTCGGAGTTACTGACGCAGTATGTTAAAACTTAGTGTTAGGGACCTCAACCACGATCATAACCAGACAGCTTCTAGCCACTTTGTATAACTCTAGGTCATTGCGCATCTGAATTTCTAGACCTGGAATTCAGAGGGCCCTAGAAAAGCTGAACTAGTAGAAGAGAGTAATAATAGAGAGCATTGAAGCTGGCTGCACAATGCCTGACTCACCAACAGCACGAAGTGCAACAACACTTGCTGACGCTCGGTGAAAATTCTTCACAACACAAATCACTAGAATTTCACCATGGCAAGCGAACCTCGGATTTCCATCACAAATCTGCATAGATTACATTCAAGCAGGACTCCTGATAGAGTATGCTATCATGAAGATCAGTAACGCCATTATTTTCATTGGCAATGCGGTCGTCCTCGCAGATGAGGTCCTGCTGTATCGTGCGGCATTCGAAGCAGAGCTTCGCAGGGTCTTGAATTTCCCTAATTTCCTGAAGAGGATCTCTTTGCAAGAACCCTCTGAATGGTGCATGCCCTATGCCGTGTCCAACCATTGGGATTTCCGTGGCTGTGTCAAATGGAAATTTGAGCTCGATAATGGGCGATAATGCAAATCCAGCTGCAACTTCTTTTAGCCAGCAATTTTCAACTCGTCCGCGTTTTTAGTCCGAGTGGAGTAGACACTTCAACGAATGCGTCCCCTTGAGATTTTGCCATAAACTGCAGCACAAGAGACATGGATCCTGGTTGTGAAGTGATCGGAGACGAGGAGATGGATTGACATCGCGACATCAAGCGTGGGGGATCTCCTGTGGAGAAGGCACCAGTAAGCACTTTAACGAACGGAGAGGTAAACTAGATTCCAAGGAGTAAGCGACAGACCACTAAAGCGTATTCATCCTTCCCACCCACAAAAGCGAGGTGGTTCAAACACTCAGCTTCCTCACGATCTGTGACATACTGTTTAGAACGATTAGAGTCGCTCTACTGGAACAGTGCAGGATATATAAGTATCATTGTAGTACAAATTTGTGGTGGTTGTGGAGAACTCCATAAACTGTTGGCTTCTAGACCGTAGATTCGACAATTCAAAAAAAGTTTACAAACTGGCTCGTTTCACAATTTCATCGATCGCATCATGTGCGTACATTATAAAAGTTCTTTCACACAAATTTCCAGTACCGCATTGGCCAATTTGCAGCTAACGTGCACATCACATAGGAAAATTCAAAGCTGTTCAAACAGAGAGAAAAATAATATGGTGTTGTGGAGTCCACATCAGCCTGTTCCAGAGCAACCTCAACTATGCTAATCATTTAAAAAATCTACCGTGATCGTTTGCCGCAACAAAACAAGGCATCACAATGATGCCACAAGTAACCTTTGGATTAAGAACACTTACTTTTGGCGATATCTTCATAAACATCTCAACCTTACAGTCATCACGTCTATATATAAATAGATTGTCAGTTACAGTCATCATGTCTATAAATAAATAATTGTCAGATTGAGAACATCACAATAGCCATCTGCTAGTTGCCATCTGCTTTTTTATTATTTGCACGGAAAATTTCATGTATATCCCTGAAATATCAAGAATACTCCTGTATTCTCGATAATAACAAATATACCCCTTGCTTTTGTGATAATTGTAAATCCATCCTTGAGGTTGGTAAGGTATGAGGTTTAGGGTTTAGGGTTTAGCGTTTGAGCCTAAATACCAAAACCCTAACCCTGGTGAATCTAGAGCCCAAACTGCATGCCATTCTCATTTTAGTATGGAATTTTTTTGCACAAGTCAAGTCCCCATAAATTGGACCATGCCACTATCTCTGTTGTGCTAGCTATTGCTATCATGTCCCCTTCATTACATACACTTGGCTTTGTTGGTGGCATTAATACTCCACCACCTATGAGGAATGTCAACCTCCATTTTCTACCTCACTCCACTTAAAACTTTTGCAAATTTTTGCAAAGCTTTTGCATGGTTGGAAGTTCATTTGATTTAGAAAGGGAATTGTGGTGCAAGATTTCTTTACATCTTTTTTAAATGTTCAAGTGAGTATAATGGAATTTTTTTTGTAGAGAGTTGTGATAGAGAAAAAAACAAAATATATATATATATATATATATATATGTATATATAAAGATGTTTGGAGTTACAAAACTATGATTATACAGTGTTGGTGCAAGGATATGAGTGTTGATGCCATCCTTGTAGATAAATGGATTAGAACATTGTTTTTTGAAGTTTGGTGACACTCTTCTTCTAGTCATGAGCTCAACATGCTCTCAACAATGTTTTTGGTCTTTATGAGCAATGTTCTTCTACACACCTTCACAAAAACGTTTGTTGACCTTCACAGCCCTCAAAAAACATAGTTACAATACTTTTGAAGTACACAATCCAAATTATTGATGCGGTGTCCATACAACTACATTTTAATTTCTTCAATAATTGCTTTGTGATCAAAAAAACAAGTTTCTAGGACATTTGTGTTAGATTCTTCAGATTCCATGTAGAGAATTCATTGATTATCATTACAAAACTACTTATGCATGTTTAGAGAGGTAAAAGAAAAGAAAAGAAAAAAAGAGAATTTTAGAAAATTTTCCATGATTGTCTCACTAAGTCCAACTATTTATTTTTAGTTTTTCTATTTCTTTTGATGATCTAGTAATGTCATTGCTTGCACAATACATACAAATTAGACTTGGTCAATAATGAGTGGGCAATTGATACCATAAAGATTTCCTTACAATATGTACACGACATCCTAATGATAGAGGTTATTGATATATTTGTGGAATCTTTAATGTTATTTCAAATGGTTATAATGCTAATCAATACAAAAGCACTAGAAACAATTTTCGGGGAAGTTGAATTTTGATCCTAAACCATCCAATAATCCAACTGAGATTATTTTATTTATTTATTTTTTTTGTTGTTGGTATTGATTTGAGTCGATTTTGTACAATAGCCCAATTAGAACTACATGGCTTCCATGGTCTTGACTTAAAGTTGCAAAGTGGCTAGAGAAATGGACCTACTAGAACGTGTGCAACACATGCAAGGAACTAAAGAGACTGATCTCCTTTCTCTAAGAACACCTTGAATTAGGACTTGATGGTCTAAGTAACTAAGTGTTGATGTTATTGACAAACTAAGGCATACATAACAAAGAGGACATGGTGATAGAGGCAATGGCAAGATCCAATTCGTGGGAGCCCAATTTGTGCACGATATACGATTTGGACCCAAGATTCACCTAATATGGCAATAAAATTATACCTTATCAAAGTTCAAGGATAGATTTGCAATTATTACAAAAGTGAAAATATATTTGCTATTATCAAGAATATATAATCATTCTTGATATTTCAAAATATTTCAGGGTTATATAAGATATTTTCTCTTATTTGTTTATTTATTTGGCAATCAGAACTGAAGATAAGGGCATCGATGCAGCAGACAGTGATGCATTAAGTTTTATGGCGGAGAGCCATTGAGCATCAGTGAACATGATTCCGTCGACTACAGTCTGACGTGTGTGCACAGCTCTGTTGCTAACCACTTTAGTACTAATCACACTGGCGGTTTTCATGGAGCAGATTGCAACCTTGACTTTTGGCAGGAGTAGTCTTGGCATGAAGCAATGTCTCAAGATACTCGATCAACTCCCTAAAAAAAACACACAAACAACTGTTCCAGTCTCGACTATGTGCTTCCGAATAGAATAGACCTCCGTTTTTTAGCATCATAAAATCATAGCTGAATGACAAGATTAGCCCAAATCCACCTGTTCGATCCAGCAATTAGGGGTTAGATCCCTAATGAATTTAATATGAATTCTCATTATCGCATCGCAGCTTCCTCAACCACCATCGGGTTTAAAGAGGCACCGCAGATGAATTATGCCCATCTTTCAAGTGTATTGTGTGACCCAGTTGTCACCATATTCACTGCTCGATCGGCTTGAGAGGACTGTTGTGTAGTGATAATGGCAGGAGTTGCACTCTTCACACCGTGGAACGAAGCAGTGGAAAAGGTGATCGACGCGCCTGTTGAAAAATCCTGGGCGATCGCCGGCGACTTCTTGGGGTTCCCAAGCCAGCACATCGACAAGATCGAGCATGTGAAGGGGGAGAAAGGGCTCCCGGGGTGCCAACGCAAGCTCCTCTACACGAACCAGAAAGGCGGCCAGAATTTTGTGGTTGAGGAGCTTGTGAGCGTAGATGCTGGAGAGCACAAGGTGACCTACAAGCTTGTCGAAACCGACGAGATTGTGCAGCCAGGTCAAGAAGCATACATCCAGGTCAGTGCATCCATTTGAATGCTGTGATGTCGAATTCATCTTCTGCGAGTCAGTGTGGATCAATTCTTTCTCCTTAGATAAAGCAGGATATGTTGAATAGCTTCAGGTCGAACAGTGGGTGAATGACCTGACCACACTGATATTGAACCGCAAACTAGTTTCACAATGTAATTGCGCTTAGCCAGTACTGAGCGGATACTAGCATTAGCAATCTGAAAAGCGTAACGTTGAAGCTCTAGTAGTGAATTTGAGTTTTCTACCGAAGATCTTTCCGAGATGATTGGTAAGTCGTTGATCACAAACAATGGGCGATATTTGTGGTGAACTCTTTCCAGTTAACCGCGGAGAGCGAAGGAAAGACTCGCATCAAATGGCCATTCCGTTTCACAAGCACTCAATTTGACAGGGAGATGCTCACTCAAATCTATCAACACCTGTTCAACACTTGGGCCGGGGAGCTTGAGAGGCGCGCTAGAGAGTGATACCTCTGTGGCAAAAAAGATTTTTTTTTTAATTTTTAATTTTTAAAAACACACTTACCAGACAAAATGTAGGTGACAAACTGTGATTTTGAAATGATTCACACTGGTGGGGTCAAACTTCGGAGCTTTCTGTTTGCATGTCTAGAACTCCATTCTGCGTCGAAGGTCTCGTTTCTTCCTGTTCTTCTCCTTTAGCCACCACAGTTTTGTTTGAGGCAAGTCGAAATGCATACAATGTGGCATCCTCTTTGCACATCTGGATCCCATGCTTCCTCGTGCGAAGCATTGCACACAAAGCACACACACCTCTTAAGCTCACTCGGCGTTTTCTGATACGGGCGGAGTTGTCGAGGTTCGTCCCGTTGGTGCTCACGCGTCGATGAATGTTTCCCTTTTTTTTCTTGACATCCCACGTTGCCCAGCATTAGGCTTTCATCCATTCAGATGGACTCCAATTTTCTGTCTTATTCGGTACATTTGAACAGATAGATATATATATATATATATATATATATCTTTTGTACCAAATTTAATGTTAAAAAATTTCTATGATTCGAGGCATTAGAGAGCAGTCATTATGTAGTATTCAGATGATACTAGACATTGAAAGCCCTAGGGAGTGGAGACAACCAAACAAGAAGAAAATCATTTGAATGATGTATGGAGAATATTTGTGACAAAATGCTCTAAAGAGAGATAGAACAATAAAACTATACTTGTTAAATATTACTTGTATGTTAAGTATCCATGGATATAATGGTACAATTGATTTGAATTATGTTAGAATAATTGTGATAATTGTGACATTTAATCATCCATATTTGGAAAAGTTTGATTGTAACTATGACAACCATAACATAATTTTTATGGTAAGGTGCACTATCTATCCATGTACATGAAACAAGCCAATACATATCCATGTATGTTGATAAATTTTTAAATTCCTCCGTTACAATAAATTCTATGATAGTTTAGTTCTTAAAACTATTTGAGACTTTTAAGAGCTTTTGTATATGTATGTTGCAACCCACATAGTGAATCATAATCTCTTGCCATCATGTCCACATATATTTAATTTCCTTCTTTAAGCATTCTAAAAACATAGGTACACAGGCTATGTTGTATTACAATCTTCACAACCAAGGTCTTTGCTGGCCATTCATGTACATAGTTTATCAAATGAGAAGTGTACAACAATATATGAAATTTAAATATTTAAATATATGTATATATTTAAAAAATAATTAAAATAATGAAATAAAAATATAATTATAACTATATTAATGATTACATATAGTATAAATATATATACATATCTCATTTTTAAAATTAAAATAGCTATTTTAAAATAAAAAAGCATTCATTATATTGTTTCAAAAGAAAATACTAAATTTGCTCCACAACTTAAGCATTATATTCAATTTAATAATGTTCCTAAAATCTTCTAAAAAATACAACTCATGAAATCAAAAAAAATGTAATTATGAAAGTTATTGTGACTAAGAAGGTTAAAACTTCACCTAAAAGCACCAAACAAACAAATTTATCAACATAAGAGACCATGTTTTATAGTTTGTGATTAGCAATGAAAGTAAAAAAAATTAATGTGCACTTGCACACAATTAAAAATTACTCACACACAAAACAAAGAAAAAAAAAGGGGGGGGAGAAGAAAAAAACACGTCATGCAACAACACTATTATAATCACTAAAATTATGAGCACCATATCCATCATATCCATCAAACCTTTAAATTCATAGTTGCACAAACATGTTCCTTTTAAAAAAAAACTTCAAACATGTCTATTACAATAGTACACATGGTTTCAACCTTCAATAACAATCAAAGTTCTTTATAAATCAGAATAGACGATTGTTTAAGGTTGAAAAGTGCTCATCAATGCCACAACCTTTCTGAAGCTTTTTTCGAATACTTTTTCGGATGCCTTTTTGGATGCTTTTTCGGAGGCTTTTGTGTGTCTTGTCGACGTGCGTCGCACTAAGGCGGAAATTCGTCGAGCGGCGCAATGTGTGGCGTCCGATGCTCACACCCGGTCTTCAATTTCCCACACTTTCTTTTCTGTGACCGTCAGCAGCGCGCTTTGAAGACATTGTGGAGCTGTGGCAATTGCTTGTCAGTTACGTCGATTCTGCGCAGCAAACCATCAATTGGACACCTGTATCGGCTTTCCACCTCAATAATCGGGCCTCCTGAAGGGTCGGCGAGCGCGACACCGACGACCTGTATTCGTTGTTAGTGGATATTCGGAAAACTTCTCGTGTTTTCTTCGTGTTCCACATAACACGGAGTTGTTGAAGATTGTGGGTTCGCGTTTCGGTGCTTTTTGCTTTGTGGGGTTCCGCGATATTGGATCCCTCGAGTAGCGGTGTGTGTAGGGGATTTGAGTGTTGGAGGGAGTTTTTGCGTAGTAGAGTTAGTGGGTTTATTGAATTTTCTGAAAATGGGGGCTACCTCGGGAGAATCGACCCAGCCTCTCGTCGGAGGCGAGCAGCAATCATACGGGACCGTTGAGCATCACGGGTACCCCGTCGTTCGGTCTGAGCCGCCGCCCTCCATCGATTATTATGGAAATTACATTCAGGGCCCAGTGCCGACGGACACTGACTGGACGACAGGATTGTGCGGATGCTTGGAAGATGTCCCCAATTGCGTGTTCACTATGTTCTGCCCTTGCCTTGCGTTTGGGCGAGTCGCAGAGCATCTAGACGAAGGGAATACCTCGTGTATTACGGCAGCGGTTGTCTGGTACGTGATTCAGCAGTTAACGTCCTTTGGCTGTGTGTACTCGTACTCGTACCGCAAAAAGCTGAGGCACAAGTATAATTTGCCCAGCCGGCCGTTGCCAGATTGGTTCATTCACTACTTCTGCTGGTTCTGCGCCATCTGCCAGGTACATTTAGCTTCTTCACTGTCACTTGATTTGATTGTGAGCTTCTCTTTGTTTCGAGTTGTGATGCTTGTTGCACGATCCTTTTTCACGTTACTGCTTTTCAAATTGTTGAGGTAGAATAATGCTCTAGAGTATTTGCATTAGCAGCAGGGCATGATTATCCGTATTTGACATGGCTTCGGATTAGTGGTTTTCTGTTTGGATTACTCTTTGGTGATTTGTGGGTCTCCATCCATGCAGGAGACTCGAGAGATCAAGAATAGAGAGGTTGTCAATAGGTCTTACGCTGGTGGCGTGATGCTGCCTCCTCCTGTTCAATCATTCTCGCGGTAATGTTGCACACACACACACACACATATATATATATATATATATATATACAGAGAGAGAGAGAGAGAGAGAGAGAGAGAGAGAAGCAAGGATTTCTGTAGCATATTTCGCAATGGTACATGATGAATGTTAAGTTGATAATGAATTGATATTGACCTTGCAAGTCTATCTTGTTGGACCGTACTCAATTGTGTACTACGCATTCCTCGTTTGACTGGGCAGTGAGTAATGCATCAGTCATATTTGTTTGTGATCGCACGGCAAATAGTACCACAAAGATTTGGAAGTGTAAGTATGAATAACTCGTACAACAGAGACTTGGGAGATTCGGTTTTATTAATATTATGCGGTACACCTTGCTTGTTATGGAGTTAGAGTTATGTGAAGATTTCGAAGCGTGGTTTACTTAGATGCAAGGTCTATATGGAAATGTGTGCATGTTATGGATGTTGCTGATTGTAATTTCTCTAGGTGAAAAAGCTTCAGTACATTCAGCAGTTGACCTTTCGACTGAAAATGCTTTTGTAAGTAGCCGTCTATCACTCTAATGCACAAGAACGTAAAACTCTCATTAATTACATAGGAAAGTACGTCATAATTGGTTTGGCAAGAACCAATTAGCATAGAAAATGCAACACGTCTATCTAGACCAGGTGGATTAGCATGAGGAATCGACAATCATGAGTATCCACAGATACTGAGGCTAGTAGAACAAGGGCCTGCTATGAAGCACTCTCTCAGGAAGAAACAGTTATTGTAGATGAACGTAGTTAAACATTGCAGTTCACTTGAACTGGAAATGCAAAAACCGCAAATGACCCTAAGAGATACTAGAGGTATGTTGGAGTCACAAATTTGAGTTTGAAACTTACCTTCACAAAAATAGACTTGAATCTATGTTGGAAGGGTTTAGAAGGATAAAAACCAAGTTTAATGTAATTTTGGGCATATCTCAACTCTCAGCTTGAACATGGTTCAAATTTAGCCTGTTCAGCAAGGTCTTCAACACAATCCACTACATATCTCATCTTTGAAACTACTTCTATTAGCAGAGAAGCAAACTTTACCAAGGAAAGAGCCGAGATTCTCTCCAGTGTGCCCTCCCAATGTGAGCCTAAGCTGTACTTACGGTGCGAGAATGTGGCCTGCCATGCAAGTGTTCGCTTGCGTGGGGTGGTCATCCCGGCCTGCGTTTCAGAGGGCTGCTCCAAGGTTGAGCCTGGAGTTCCGCTATTAGGAACCGAAACATCAACAGATTGGACGCCCTCAGTCAGGGTATCCAGTTTCTTTACAGGTCCAGATCTACCTAGCAAGATACCTCCTTGTGGTGAGCCACTCCATCCAGGAGAGCCACTCAATCCGGGAGAACCAACCATTGAAGTGTCTTTCTGTTCGGAATTTCCACGACTGTTTTGATTCCCTTCAGAAGGGGCTGTGTTGATTGCAGGGCTAACAGTTCTTGACGACTCATTGGTGAACAGCTCACCTCCCGGAACTTGACTCGTAATGTTGTCATCCCCAGTGTAATTTGATTCTTTCCAGTTTTCAGATTCCTGACCATTGGTTGTAAAAGACCTTGAAACTTCAGAGGAAATCGACCGAGGGTATATAGGAGACTCAGAATTTGTGTTGCCGAGAAGCATGTTTGTATTCAAATAAACCTTATATTGAAGCGCAATAGCTGCCTCCTCAGCTCGTTTCATGATGTCTTCTGATGGGAACTTTTTCATGTTTTTCATGCTATTCCCCAAGGTACGTAGCACAGTTGCACACTCGGTCGCAATCGTCGCCATCTCCTGTACCACAGTTCTATTTTCAGCGAAGCCTAAAAGAATAAAAATTCTACAAAAAGGTGAGAAAGCAAGACGGAATACAAAAGACGTACGGCCAATAGCGACGGAAAACATGATAATATACCGGGGCAAAAAGATCTCGGAGTTGTTTGGGTGCTTGAATATTTGCCCGAAGACACGAATCAAGAGCTATGACATCGTACAGAGTGTAACGAAGGTAGTCTGTAATGTCGTCATACATATGCCACGGATAATCCTTGAAAAACTTCCCATGCGATGGTTCCCAGAGTACTGCGCCCAACTGAGGCCAAACCACAAATGACATCAGCCTCCTGCTCAAGATTGTTGGTTGATCGTTACCAAAGAAACTAATATTGAAGTTTAACTCATTATTTTTGAATTCCAATCAGCAACGTGCTTGAATCCATAAAAGTTGACTGAAAAATCCAACTCAACTCACCAATTTGTCAATGTCCGAATCTGACATCACTATCTCATGGTAGCTTTGGTGAATTTTGTCATCCTCAGAGCGCCCACTCAGAATGTCCGGGACATGATCGAGCATCGTTACTTTGATATATTCCTGAACGCATCTGTAAATAAGATCCAACACCTTCTGAATTATCCTAAGACTCGCTTGTTCTCTGACCAGTCTTCAAGACTTGCTGGCAGAACATAATGACAGACATGACGATTGTTTTCTTCATTAATAAAGGATGAATTAAATTATCACCGTACAAACCGCATTAATACTCATTGCTATGGAGAGTCAGTAACCACGATAACATGTTTGAAAAAGTAGTACTGATGGTACAGAAGCCTTACCTTTCGAAGACAGAGGCGGCTGTCTCAAAGTTTTTCGCCACAAGCTTGTGCAGCGAATCTCCAGCATAGACCGGCCGGAAAGCTATGTTGACAAGTGTTGCAATCGAAAACCCCAGCAAGATCATGGAAAATCTAAGCATTGGCAATGTCCATCTTTCTGGATCTAAATACGCAGTGATTATAAAAATGTGGAACGCCATGGTTGCTACAGTGAAAGCGTAATCCCATCGGTCTTTCAAGGGTGGTGTCCCTTTCAAAAATTTGAAAACGGCACCTCCTACCGTAACACAAAAGACCTGTACATCCACGTACAACTAACTTTAGATTTTTGAAACAAAAATTCAACCCTGACATTTAAGCATCTTCAAGGCCAACAACTGCTCCTCGATTGGAATGTGCCTTGGTACTGGAAAAACACCACAGAAAGCACTTTGAACAAATCATGACTACGAAGTTCAATTGATGACCACAAAGTTCAACCGTTTACCACATAGTAAGGATATACTGGTCCAAGTTCTGGACCCAATTGATTAAGCCCAAACCCTAAGAAGCCAGCAGCCAAAGTACCCAGCACGCGATTGAATCCTTTACTGATAGAAAGTCCAATATTACTCTCGTACAGAAGGTCGGTAGTGATGACGGCCCACAAAGCGATTGATGAGAGTTGTGTGTAAGGCTGCGGAAAATGAAGCACGCATAGCACAGAAGCCAAACCAGCACATGCTCCTGCAAACGAACCACATTACTTCCCACATTAATGACTCAAAGGTGCAAGGACCAGTGCTAAGAGATCACACAGCAACCAGTTTGTAGGGTTGCAGAAGCTCAACACAGAAGGACATGTACCGGCGCCAAACATCACATTGCTTGCCAACTTGTGGATTTCCGGGAAAACGGCTGTGACATTAAGTATTTGAACTTTCAAAATAAGAATGTGCACCTTGTTTAATAGATAGAACGGTGAGATTAGTATTAGCTTTCATAGCATCCCAGCTCCATTTCGGCCACATGTATAGCCCTATCATAACATAGTACAAGAAATTCAGAGTGTCGGTCTTGGCGCTGTATGCCGCCCGGGCCACAAATGACTTCTTATGTATGGGGTTGCGGACAGAGTGGCCTCTGCGTTCTGATCGTGTCATAGGCAAACCTCTTCTCGAGCGATCCCTGAATCGAATCCTATTCTGGTCGTGAATTTGCTGAAACGTATTCCCGCTCTGATTTGCAAGCGCTGGAGTGTCGTAATTCACCTCCGGTTGCTCACCTCCACCCTCCGCATTCTCCCTCTCGGTCCGTCCAGAGACCGATCTCTCAAACCCATCCTGCGGTTCGTCACCAACTGCCACCACAACCTCATAGCGTGCCCGATTTGGACGCGCATTTTCGTTCTCCTCCCCATAATCCCCCAGCAATGGTGCATGCAGTGAGACACCGTTGGTATCCTCTCTACTCGCCACCATTGCCTCTCACCTCTGTCCCTTCGTAATTCCCCGCCTATCTTAAGTCAGTGCCTCTCTGCCTCCTTCAGCTGAAACGCAAGCAGAAACCCAAATCCCTCGCTTCATTGAAGCTTCACCTCTAAACCCTCAGAGATTTTCTCCACTCGCCTCCGACCAGTCCATAACCTCATCTCACTTCCCGCATTACCGCGATTCGAGTACAATAGCCTTCGCCTTGTCAAATTAGTCGCTGCATGAATTCGCCGTTCTTATCTTCTCTTCACTGCAATCCTCCAAAACATTCCGGCACATTCTCACGGATCCCAACACATGGCTACGAATGATTGCCGTCTTTGAACAAATGTACAACCCTAGCCCTCTCAACTGTAGTGGGTTTATTCGTCCTCGAAATGATTCGGTTGAATTCCAAGTGCATACGTTCCAGAAAAAATCCGTTGGGCTCTCGCGGAATGGTGCCAATAGGGAATTAAATACGACCGAAGGTGATACAGGCGAGGAGAATCGCGAAAAGAGCGCACAGGAGTCTCATTCACGACGGGTCTCTGTCAAAAACGGACTGGGGCAGTGTAGCGATAACACGCGGAGAGAAGGTAACCCAGCTTTCCTGCGCCTCGCTAGGATGAAAACCAGCCTCTGGAAACAAGCATTTCACCACATCTTAGCAGATTCTCGATCCATGGTTCTCCCCAATCACTGAGCGGAAGGACTTCAGCCTACCCAACGAAGCGCAGCCCGTCCAGGTGCCTGCGGAACTGGGATTGGTGGCGGAAGCTGCGGCAAGGCTGCCTCGTCAGCGGAGGTGGGTTTCTAGCGCCAGTCGCTGCCACCATACGCGGACGTGGAGTTGGGTGAGCAAGGATATGTGCGCTGGTGTGTGGAGCGATCGACACCCACGACGTCGCGAGGGATTTGTCGCCGGAGCGTCCACGCTTTGGCAGCGTGGGGCGTGCCGCGTGGGGACTGGCTATGGCCATGGCCATGGCCGGCCAACATCGAGATTCATTGCTGTTCGGGCAGGTGGAGCGGATCCGGCAGCCGTTCTCTTTTCATTTTTCTTCATTTATTTTTTACTGCTCTAGCTAGTCCGAGTAGGAATTCGTGGTAGGTTTGGTCAGCTTCCACATTCATGCATTGTGGACTTGAATCGTGACTTCTGGACGAGGCCTCAACTTTACTACAGAAATGTGAGCTCGTTTTGCTCGTTTGTGATGGTCTCCTCACAACCCATGTGATGAGAAGTCATTTGATGTCGCAAAGAGGGCTACTTGCATCCCTTGTCACCACCCTTAGCATGACTCAATTCGGTGCCATCCTCCCTCGGCTATGCCAAAATAATTTGTGAAGACACAATCGAAGGGGATTCAGAAGAAGTGAGTTGTGTTGTTGCTGCGATGCCGTTTCTGAGGATGTGCAAATTCTGGTATTGCAACCTACTCGAAGGCAACTAACTGGCTTCTTTCTTAACAAAGTTTACACTACATTTTGTCATCGGCTGTGACCGCGCCGATTCTGTGTCTGTATTGCACCACTTGTTGAAGCTCATACAAGAAATAGAACAACGCATATAACTTCGTAACGGTTCTAATTCTTATTGCAAATCCATAGGTGAACATTTGTTGGTGTTTCCTAAACCTTCAACGAATGAATCGCCGTTTATTCAAAGTTTGTATTGTGTCACAATTTGGCAGTCATCACATTTTTGCATTATGACACTAACTCAATGTAGTTTTAGGAGAACTAAACCAATTTGACTTTCTACTCGTTAAATAGGAATTAACATGATCATTTTGGAGAATGTGTTTAAATATATTTAATACAATGTATTGTCTTCTTTGCGGATTTCTTTTATGTTTAGAGTTTTAAAAATCTTGAATACCTAAAAATAATAATGAAAAAATAATGTTAAATTGTACAAAAAATTTGGTAAATACATGGATTTAACTCTTCTTGATAACTTCAACTTTGATCATATAAAAAATTAAGTAATATTGTTTATTTAACTATAGTGTAAATCAAAGATGTATCTACAATTTGAATTTTAAAACATTATTCTCTACAATGTTACCAATGATAACAAGATTTAATTTAGTATAATCTATCCACATTTCAAGTTATGTGCCTTGTGTTTCTTCTAATTGATGTCGAATTCCATGTGAGCCACATAAACATTGAACATTATTACTTTGAAATATAATTGTAGTTTGCAAAAGACCAATACATATTTTACTATGAATATTCTAAACAACTTTGAAAATCATTGGAGAATGTTTTGTTTCTTGAAACAAAACCAAGGAAAATTCTAAATAAGATTTCTAGATAGTTTATTAATTATTCACATCAAAAATTCCTTGAAACTAAGGAAATTAGAAAATATAAATATAGACATGGTAAAAGAGATTGTTTAAATATATATTACTTATTGTTTTATCAATAACAGGTTTGTATATAAACATAACAAAGAATGACCTTTGCAATCCTTATTAGGGATGTGCATTAAAATTCTCAAGTATCTTAAAGAAACTTGATATGCATCTATTTGATAATATTAAAGTCATGGAAGATAATTTTTTTTTTGTTTAATAATTACTTTATATAATTATCATACTATTTTTTCAAATAAACATTAGTTATAAAAGAGCATAAGAAAGAAAAACAAAAATGTATAGAATATGAAAAAAAACATATACAAAAAACTAAAATCCAAGTTCAAAACATGTAAAAGCAAGCAAACAAATTCTTCTCTATTATTCCAATAAACCTCATTTTATTAAACACAAAAATATTTATATATATCCTTTTAATGATAATTAATAATTGTCTGAGATCAAATAAAATGCAATGGTTGCTTGCATTATAATTTTTTTTTTATTAACAAGTGTCCAATTTTTTTAAAAAAAATTTAAGTTGACGTTATTAGATTAATAAAATTGAATGAAACTAGTTTAAATTAAAAGAATAATAATAAAAAAAAAATTCTAAGGTTGTCTAATTTATTTATTGTTAAAATTTGCATGAACAAATATTAATTTATTTTTGAAATACTAAATAACAAATTTTCATACCATAATAAAAAAAATTTATGACTTTGATATATATATATATATATATATATATATATATATACAAATGATTAAAATTATAGTTTTATTTTTATTTTTATATCATAAAAAATACTAGATAAAAGTAAAAAAACTACATCCAATATATCTACAATATAGAATCTATAAATTATTTATTTAAAAATAAATTAGTCTAAGATTGTACAAGATGCATACTTATTTAGCCTATGATATTGTATTAAGAAGGAGAATAACAAAATGCTACCTTAAATAAGAAAAAAATAAAATAAAATATGTTTGGTCAATTATTCGGTCTTTAGAAATAATGTATAAATTTTACAATTAAGTAAAAACTTTAAGAATGTCATCTTTTAGTATTCAAATAATTTTAATAAGTACATCTATTAAAAGAATAAGAAAATTTATATATATTTTTTTCAAATAAATACGATTATATCGGAAACTTTTAAAATTAGATCCAAGCAAATAAAGTCAAATACTAATCTTTTTCTTCTATGTCCATCAACTTCACCTTCACCAATTAATGATTTTGATGGCCACTTTGTAGTCTATTGGAATATATTTTGTTAATTTAACTTTTCCAAATGATCCAATAATTAGAATTTTTCCCAACTTATAGGTATGTAGATAATACTCCACAAATGAAAGATCCATATACATTCTATTTCTATGCTTATCCATTTCTATCCACTTTCCTATTTATTTAAGTATTTTGTGTAATTTTTTCAACCACCAAAAAATACTTTTCATTACAATCCACCAATTTCACAAAGATTTATCATTTCAAACAAATGAATCCTTATCCTCATGACATGTATAAAATTGCATTTCTTTAGATACTAAATTTGCTTAAATTTACACAAGCAATTTTAGAACAAGATTTGGAGCACTTACTTATAGGGCTCCTAAAAACTATCCAAGTCAATTAGCAAGAACCAACCTAAGTGGCATTACCACTTGGATGTATATTGCACACATTTTGTTCTTATCATTTAAATTATGTCATCATTCGTGTACCCTTTTCATTTTTTGTCATTTCTTTTCCAATGTATAATTATTTTGGAAAAAAATAATGTCATTTGATTCTTTAGTTTTTTTTAAATAAAAAATTTAATAAAGATTTAGGACTTTTTTTTTTCAGAAAAATAGACCATAATCTAAGTGATGGTATTTACTAACATATGTTGTTTTCATCCTGTCACCAAGTTCTAAAATTTAAAAACGCTATTATTTTTCAAGTATTATTTCCAGTTCTATTTATTTCATTTTAAATATATATATATATATATATATATATATATAATGTAATTCCTCCTATTGCTTCTATTGCTATTCCTACAACCAAACATCATGTTTTTTTGTATTTTTTCTCAAATCTCAAATGGGTATTAAATCTTGAACATGTAAATATCCAACTTCATCTTCTCTGGGCCAAAAGAGTTAGGTGTTTATATGTAAATAGCATCAAAGACATTTTTAAAAAATTGTGTGAACTTCTGAACACATATAATAATAAATATTTTTTGAGAATTGAATAGTCAATTTTGTAAAAAAAAATCATTTAAAGATTTTATTTTGAAAACATGAATATAACTATATATTTCTGTATGTATGATGTATTTGTATGAAGATACATACATAAAATGCATAAGCATATAAAGTTATTTGTAATTGATAGCGTGTGTTGAGGTTTGTTTACTTTTATCCTTTTCTTTTCTTTTCTAAATCATTTGTTGATTGCTGTTATTACTTATTTTTTCAATACATGGTTGAAAAAATGATTTAAATTTCACTACTCAATTATGATCATTCTAAGTCAGCATATATCAAATAAGTCATTGGTTGGTAGTCATGGATTCAGTGCTTTTAAGGAATTTCGCACATGGAGATTTTAGAACTGCATGATCACACAAATGAATTTTGGTAGGCTGTGGGCGATGAAGAGCATGTGGGAGCAAGACCTATTCCCAAGCTACGCTTATGTATCATTCCAAGTTCTCCAGAATCCAACACTTCGTTCAACATTTGTTCTTCAGATGTCTTCGGTTTTGGTTTCTACTTTTATTGATTCAACTTCCATGTCAATCCCAAACTCTCAGTTTGTAGGCATTCAAAAACTCTTTATGGTAATTTACACATGAGAATATATTGTTTCACACCAACAATAGGAAAATTCATTCTAAAAGATACATCTCATTCATCATTGTCTGGACTGAATTTCGTCACAACCCCTAGCAAAATCCCTCCTAACTAATTTGGATTTATGAAATTTGCCATCAGGAAACGACGTCAATCCACGTTACAAGTCCATCAGCCTTCCAGAGTCCATGTGAACCGTTATTGAACATACGGAATACGGGAATTCTTCACTGATTTCTAAAAAAATCGGATTAATTTCTCATAGTTTGTAGAGTCAGGAACCACAAAATGCTTCGAGAGCTTGTTGGTAGGCTATCCACTTACAAAACCAGATACTTCACAGTCATCTCGTGAATAGGGGTCACACCGGCAAACACGCCACCGTGACATAGACAGGCTCAGCTGGTTATAAAGAAATCCACCTACTGTTAGAGCCGGACCTGATGTTGAGATCAATGTGTTCTGACTCGGGAATTGCAAGCTGACATAAACCTAAACATGGGGATGATACGTTACAATAGACTACAAAAGCGACGAGACCGTTTGAAATTCAATTTCCAAACACTTGCAGCGAAGAGGGATGAAACAATTCACTTTCCAGCTATCACATACCATAGAATCGCAGAACTGTCTTGGTTGGTCCCTAGAACGAGAACTGTGCAGCCGACCAAATGCTTCGTATGCTAAGATTTCACCTAATAGACTCAAATCGGATGGAAAACTTAACGTGATGATAGTTTTTTAGGGATGAATTTGATTGGCTTGGGCTGGAATTCAAGAGCATCACCATTCCAACAGGAGTAAGATGTATGCTTCAGGGAGTAATTGAACCTGCTACAGCAGCGCAGTCATTGTAGACAATTAAAGCACACTTGTTTCAAGCACCATCAAGGATTTATGGACCACAGACTGCAACGCTGAAGTTGTGACTGAGAAATGAGAATTAGATTCTTTCCTGTTGGGCGTAATTCGTCCCTCCCCTTCGTCTCCGTTTTAGAACTGGGTGCGCGTCCTGAATTGCACTCTCGTAGGAGGCTTGTAAACCTGTTCGGCAGCAGGTTGCTCGATAACAGGTTCAGATTGTTCATCAAGGCCAGCACCTTCAGTCGTCTCCTTAACAATGGCTTCAGTATGATCAGCTTTAACTTCGGATTGCTGATTGACAGAATCCATTTGCTCATCGACGATATCCGATCTCCCAATTTCCCGCAATTTCTGCGAGAAAGCCATATCAAATATGGACTCTATAGGTGCGTCCATTTGACCGAGTCGTGCCCTTCTAGAAGACAAGAACCCAGCAAGCAAAGCCCCTCCTATTGCAGTCGCCAAAGCTCCAACCGCTACTGTTTGCACCACCTTAGCCCAAGAGCGTCGTGGAATGTCTAAGCTCATTGAGACGCTCTCCCCTGAGCCAGTGTATGGATCTCCGCTATATAAGTCCAACACATCTGCCAAATCCATCATCTGCGCGTGCGTCAGGTTAATTGAACACACAGTATCGCTCGTCTTTTGCAAGCCCACAGCTTCAAATTTGTTGGAAGGTAGATTTAACTGCAGTTTGTGAGCTGGCAAAAACTCATCTACGAGTTGGGCGTCCAAGCCACTCTTTACAACAGCTTCAGTAGCGAGCGGTCTATTCCACCATGATCGATGCCGCCGCAACCCCACACTTGTTCCCACCAACTTCTTGTCTTGAACTATCCTTTCCACATGGGCCGACACCTCAGCTTCTGTGAAAGAGGAGATCTGCACGGTTGAATTTTTAACAGTGGTTTTAATCCCCTCAGATCGTTTCAGGAACGGAATCGAACCAAATCCCTCAACTTTCGCTCTTTGCTCGGCATTATCCTTAACACAGGCCAGTGCATATGAACAAACACCCTTCGCTATCTCCGAGAGACAACTCGCATCTGACACCTCCAAAAACGCCGCTATTTCTCCCCCATAACCATCTGTGGCTTTCATGGTCCCGGGTTGGTAGAAACAGAGCTCGAATTTTGACAGCTTCAACAGTCTCACAGTTTGGAACGCGACGGCAAACGCCCGCCCACCTCGTAAGAACTGCGCGTCCTTCTCCGCCATCAACTTGGCTCTCTCAATTACTGCTAGTGTGGGCGCTTGTAACTTCGTGGAGACTGTACTGCCCTCGGAGAGTTGACCTGGATTGTAGGCCTCTATCACCAGCATAGCTTTACCCTGCTTCAGCTCTTGCACAGCAGTCCTGCCCCCATCGGCCGCCAAGGCTGCATTCACTTGCAGCGGGAGGGCGTTCCCGGTCACCCTCAAGGAAGCCATGGCTTTTCGATATGTCCTAGTTGCAGCATAATTCCAGCTTTGCCCGGCTTCAGTATCAATTCTAGTGTCTTCATACTGTGCAGAGTTCTCCGCACTCTTGCCTCTAATTGATTTCGACAGCGCTCTTTGCTTGCCACCTCTACGAACGCTACATGAAGAGGCGTGCAGAATCAAGTCCGGCAGCAATTGCAGCTTCCGAATGGCCTGAGAATGACGAGCGTGATGCCTCGGAAGGAAACATCCCCATGGGATGCCAGAAGAGGATTGAGAATATGGAAGAACAATCTGTGAGCCTGAGCTCAGCGCCATGGTTACCCTAGTTCAGTCTCTCGTTCAAGCCATACTCCTTCCTAAACCTCCAACAGAGGTGCCGACATTAATCTGCACCCCGAAGAGAACTGGTCACGGAAATGTCCCGATGAGCAAAGAAGAAAAAAGAAAAAAGAAAAAAAAGGGCCTCAAATATCATACAAACCCACAAAACCCAAACCCTAAAACGAACAAACTACCCAAAATTCCTGAAACGCAAATACTGAATGGACACCAAAAAAGACTGCAAACCCATTACCATGTCACAGACAGAATTCACGACACAATCCTCGAAACGACCACTCGTCAATTCCCACGTCATGCAATTCTCCCAGCAAACTCAAAAGAGGGAAGAGAAAAGGCGGTTGCGGCGCTGCTCACTGGAAGCAGGAAGGGCGGTAGGCGACAGACTCCGAGGCGTTGTCCCGCCCGCGAGACCCAAGCGACGGCGTGTAAGCAGGGCATTCATGGCGAGGAGGCCTGGCGCTACTCAGGGCAACACCACCACCACCCTCTCCTCGCTTCGCTGCTTCTCGCCATAGCCATGGCGATGGCGCTGCCGCTGGACGAACGCGTCGCGGCAATGACGACGAAAATATTTCGTCCCTCTTTCGTCCCTCTCTCGTCCCTCTCTAGTTGTCTTCCTCGTTCCTTCCCAGTCCCTCCTCCCTCATTCCTTTCTCATCCCATCTCTCATCCATTTTCTCATCCTTTCTCATCCCTTTCTCATCCTATTTCCTCTCTTCCATTAACTTTAAATGCATTCTAAACTTTAACTTTTATCTCTCATGTTCTGTTTATATTTTCCCTTTTTGAAAGAGGGACGAAATATTTCGTCCCTCTTTTGTAGCATATGCGTGTGCATGTTTATAAATTATTTTTACTTACTTTTTACTTTAATTTTATGCTAACTTTTTGGAGTTTTTTATTCTTCCAAATGGGGTTGTGCTGCAAAAGATGTAAGCAACGTCAGTTAAGTTAGAGTGACTTTATATTATCAATGAATTCCGCATTTAATGTATTGTCATGGATCTATTTTTAACCTTGATAAAAATGAAGTCTGCACTTGAATTTAGTAGCATAAAAGTAATTTTAAGTGAAATTATAAATTTATAAATCAAATATTCAAACAATGCCATAAAAAAGTAAAAATAAAATATCTGAAAAATAATATTCATTGATAATTTTTTGTATTATTTTTTTTCATCATTTTTCTAATTTCTTGATGAAATACTAGCAGCAATTACTTTTTTCAAATTATACTCTAGAAATTGAAAAAATAGTAAAAATAAAATAAAAATAAAAAAATAACATAAAGCAAAACAAAAACAAAGCAATGAAGCAAAAATCAAATGAAGAATCATTGATGTTCTATAATACAAAAGTAAGAATTTGTAAAACCCTATGATATCATTTACAATATCTATATATATATATATATATATATATATACTAAAACTCATGTTTAAAGGATTTGTTGTCAATTGCCAAATCTATCCACCAATACTTGACAATGTGCTTTGAGCCATTTTGGATAACACTCATTCTTCCATTTTTTCTTCTTTAGATCCATAAAAAGTTGCATGCATTGGTGTGCCAAGACAAAATAAAATTAATATTCAATGAACATTTGAAAGTTTTGTCTCCTACTTTGGAATGTCAAAGTGACTTTGTATTATAATATTGTATTTTGTAAAAATTGACATGGGCAAGTGTCAAATATTGTATTAATAAAAAATAAATTGAATTAAGAATGAAGATAAGAGGATCCAAAATTAAAAAGTTGTTAACTAGAATAGAAATTACAAACAAGGTAAAGAAGTTGAATAAATTTGTCATATGAAACAAGGACTTCAAGAACAATTCTAAGTGTGTTTTCAAACAAGAAGAGGTATTTCAGGAAGAATTTAACAACAATAATAACATTGAAAATGTAAAGAACAATAGAAAGAGGTTGAATTGAATAAAAATTAAAAATGTGGTATATAGCCTTAATGTAAATCAGTGGTTTATCATTACATTCAAACATAATTTGTTTAGATTTTGGTATGAATTATTTTGTTGTTGTGCACGTATTTATACAAATATATAAATATACACATACACCAAACCTTACCCAACAGAAATATAAGGAATATTGATCAAACTTTCAACAAATACTCTATAATTTAAATAACACCTTGGTCAAAGTTATTGTTGAGTTGTAAATACACTTATTCAAGTTGCTATTTACTCAACAATGTCATGCATTTTTTTTTTTTTTTAAGCAACATAGAGAAATTCTTACATTAATGAAAATGATTCGGTAAATTCATTTTTATGAAAAGCATGTTCATCGTACTATTATTGGCATCTATCTCAAATAATACAATGTTATCTTATACACTCAAATCAACAATTAAGTGCAAAATATAGTTTTGTGTAAAATCTTCATAACGTCATGTAGAAACTATTACATTGCAATTTTTTCTTACAGCTTATATTTTTCTTTTTTCTTTTTTCTTTCTTCTTTCAGAAATGAAATACACATATTAATGTGTATAGTAAGAGTAAAGAATCTTAAAATCTTAAAACTGGTATTTTGTTTTAGATTTTTTGGGTCTAAACTGCAATGCACGTTTGTTCAATACACACAATATTCACCCCAATACAATGTCCACATGCATTGAAGCCTTTCAAAGGATTAAAGCCACCTAATCTAAACCAAACTTGTGCGTTTCCATGAGCAATGCCCATGAAAAATATTATATATCATAACCAACTTTATTTCTACATCTCCACAGTGTCACTCACAAACACCCTATTCTAACACAGCCCATACAAATCAATTTCATTAGAAACTTGACAATAACGAAGGTGGGTCTCGACTGAAATCTGACACAGAACAGTGAGAAAAAAAAAAATATATATATATATATACAAATGTAGGGATTGGAGGAGGAGGAGGAGGAGGAATTGGATGGTGTTGGCAGAATTTTGACGAGATTTGAATGGCTGCAGTTTAATGGGTTTTTGGAGGTATTCGGAAGATGCCACTGGCGGTTTTCGGAGCATGTTCGGGGAAATAATGTGGACTCGTGAGGGGAAGGAAGAGAGGTGAAAGCCTGATCTTTCCCTGGCCCCATAAGCAATGTCGGAGCCTGCGTTCCGTTTGGCTTGCGACCCAAGCTTCTGCGTGGTGGAAATAGGCGGCGGCTGGAATTTCTTTGGGCCGCCGCATTGCTCCCCAGCCTTGCGAGTAGTCCCCCTATAAAGTCCCCTCCTTTTTGTTTTTTTTTTTTGTTGTCTTCTTGTCAAGAATCTGTGTCTTCATCATCCTGGTTCGGTGGTTAGGTTTGAGCGAGATCATGTGAAGAAGCTCTTCCTTGGGTGTGCTGGTCCCGTGCTGGTGTTAGTGGAGCAATGTGATCTCACCGCCGAAGGAGACGCTCAGATTGTGTGTCCGTGTGTTGAAACCGAACCTTTGCGTAAGTTACTATTTGTAATTTCGAAGTTCATGGGATGCTTCGTCGGCAGAGATTTTGGTGTGGCAATATTCTCTCTAGTGTGTGATAATTAAGTTCGTTGCGGTTACTCTAGACTTTCTTTTTACTTCCTTGTTTGTGTGACGTGCATTTCGTTTTCGCCGAGCTTGGAGGAAGTTTTTGGTGGTGTTGAATTTGGTGGAAGATGCTAATTTGGTGTGCTGCTTAAGATGGGTGGGTGTGTTGAGTCCTTCGTTCTCGCCAATTCGTTCTTTAGCAAATTGGGATGAATTGCCGGTGCCTTCACCTGTACATCAAGCTCAGGTTCGAGACGAATGGTGTGTTGACGTTGCCGTGCTTGTCTACCTGTTTGTTTCAGACTTTTCAGCGAAGGATCCGTTTGTTGAACTGAAAAATTTTCAGCCATGAACGACCCTAATCGCCCGTTGCGTGAGCCGTTGATACAAAACCAGGTCACGGAGCCGCCGACCCAACAACAGCAACACGTATTCATCTTCGCGAATGGCGTCACAAGATCCGTCAGCAGACGCGACGAGACCATTTCTTGCACGCCGGATTGGATATGGGGAGAGGTGCAGAAGCAAGTTCGTATCGCTGGGCCCATGGTGTTTGTGGCACTCCTGCAGTACTTGTTGATTGTGGTTTCTGTCATGTTTGTGGGGCATTTGGGGGAACTGGAGCTGGCCAGTGCATCGATAGCTAGTTCATTCGCTGGCGTGACGGGCAACAGCTTGATCATTGGCATGGCCTCGGCACTCGAAACACTATGCGGCCAAGCATACGGAGCTAAACAGTATCACATGCTCGGCATTTACATGCAGCGCGCGTGGTTTGTCTTGTACCTGGTGTGTATACCAGTTTCATTGGTTTGGTGGCACATGGACTCTCTGCTCATCTACTTAGGTCAAAACACCGAAATCTCCATGCTGGCGGGGGTGTACGCGAGGTACATGTTGCCCTCCGCGTTCGGAATCGCGACTCTCCACCCATTGGTGAAGTTTCTCCAGACTCAAAGTCTCGTGGTACCCATGGCACTTTTCTCCGGCGCCACTACACTTCTACACATCCCTTTGTGTTATTTCCTGATTTTCAAGTCCGGGCTGGAATACCGCGGTGCTGCAATTGCGACCGGAATATCGATTTGGGTCAATGTCCTCTTCCTGGGTTTGTACGTGAGATTCTCCTCCACTTGCAAGAGAACGTGGACGACATTCTCTCGGGAAGCATTCAACGACCTCTGGACTTTTGTGAAGCTCGCCATCCCATCTGCCGTCATGATCTGCCTCGAGTACTGGTCCTTCGAGGGGCTTGTTCTTCTTTCAGGGCTTCTAGTAAACCCACAGCTCGAGACCTCCACTCTCTCTATCTGTCTCACGAGCCTGGCTCTGCTCTTCATGATTCCGTTCGGCATCGGAGCTGCTGCCAGCACCCGTGTGGGCAATGAGCTGGGCGCTGGGCGACCTCAGGCTGCGAAAGGCGCGGTGGTGATTGCAGTCACCATGGGCGTCACCGAGGGCTTGTTGATGGGAACCATTCTGTACACGGGACGGAACGTGTGGGGCATAGCATTCACAAATGAGCCTGAGGTTATTGAATATGTAGCTCGGTGTGTCCCATTGCTTGCTTTCATGCACATCATGGACTCCATCCAAGGAGTGCTGTCAGGAGTGGCTCGTGGATGTGGGTGGCAGGCCTTCGGTGCAGCTGCCAACCTCGGCGCTTACTACATTGTGGGATTACCGTCGGCTATCATCCTTGCCTTTGTGTACAACTACAAAGGTCGAGGTCTCTGGTTCGGCATGATCCTCGGCATTATCACCCAAACTCTGACTCTCTCGATCATGACCTGCTGCACTAATTGGCAGAAACAGGCCGAGGATGCGCTGCTGAGAGTGTATTCCTCCACTGCTGCCACGCTTCCCGTGCAATCGAACCATAAGCTGAAACACGTTGCAGCCTCTGCTCAGCATCTTCTCAAAGACGGAGATGGTGATGACCCCACCTGATTGATGATGATTTCCTGCAGCTCCTGCTCACGTACTCCGGCATTCCGGTGCCTAGCGATTACATCATGTGCAGGTGGAAATTTTGTGGAATGCCCAACATCCTCTTCTTTCGAACTTTTATCTTTGTTTCTTCTTCTTCTTCTTCTTCTCTTCTGCTTCTTCTTTTGTTGTTTTTCTTTTTGTTTGTTGTTTTTATCGGTGCTAGATTCCTTAGTGAGATAGTTGTCACTGGAAGCTATGCAACAATTGTGTACTGAATTTAGAGGGGCTCAGCATCTGGCATGGTTGGAACCGACATGTCCGAGGAGGCATCTCCGAATGTGTGTTTTGCTGCACCTGTTGTTATTTCACAATTCCAGTTGATGATCCTTGTGCTCTCTCTCTCTTTCTCTTGTTGATGCCATTCAAGTCTTGTATCATTCATTGAACTAGAGTTTAATTTTCTTACAATGACTTTGAACGAGAATTTTGAACGACTACACCGAAGTGTATTTCAAAATTTTGCACCTGTTTTAAGATGAGGAGGTTTTCAAATGTCACAAATGAGGTAGCAAATGGGGGATAGGGATATATTTATTATAGACATACACACATACATGTGTGCACTTATTCAAGTCACTATTGGAACTTGCGGATGAGGAAGTCTTCATCTGATATTGTTAGTGTTGGAATTTTACTGTTAATGATGTATACACATTTATGAATGAATAGAATGGTTTTGCTGATATAGAGGTCTTCTGGTTTATTTTCTAATGGATGGTGTGGATGAAGAGAATAATAATAAAAAGAATCTGCCTTAATTTAAATTCATGGTTACAAGAAGAACCTTTATTTATAAATGTACAAAACATGATAAGTTATTTTGTTTATCTGACATTAGCATGTAAAGTGATGCTCGCACCATCTACATTCTTACTATGTAAACTGTATTTATATGTTTATTTACATACAGCCCATCTGAAACTTAGTTGACAATTTTTTAAAAAACAAATATTTTAGCTGTTGAATTGATCTTAAACAAGGAGAAATAGAAATTCTGAACTCATTCATAGCTCTTTTTTTCTTGTCTTTTTTGTAGCTAAAATAAATTATTCGAAAAATCTTGATATTTTATTATTTGTATTATTATTAATATAATCATTATTTTATTATTATTATTGTTATCATTTGACAACAATACTTACTTGCCGAAGGTTTTATTTTGTTGAAACAGAAATTGAGTATGACTTTATAATGCATGCTGATGGTTGTGATATTAACAAAGTAATGAGTTAATGATTATTTATACACTTTATAACTTTATTTTTGAACAATTGAATAAAGCCCAAAATCAATGACAGGATATATCATTGTAAAACCAAAAACCAATATGTATGTATGTATATATATATATATATCGAGAGAGAGAGAAAGATGTAGTTATTTTTTTAATATTGTTTCTATTACACCTAAAAGTATACTAAGCCTATTTTAACAACAAATGAATAGCATATTTTGAAGTATAACTGATAACTTTTTTGTATCTCATTTAAACAAATTTCATGTCTACTTTAAAAAATCATGCTTACCTTACACAGGTTGTTAATTAATCTAATGTGTGTAAGTTTTTGGGTTATGGGCTACATTCAAAAACGATGGTTTCTATTAGTTATGGTAAACTTCTTTGTTGTATTATCTCCAAATCTATGTCTCTCTCTCTCTCTCTGTATATATATATATATATATATATATATTTCAATAAACTAAATTGGACGATTTAATGAGTTAGATAATGTGAATATTTATCTTTTCCATTTTACTCCTGTTTAAATATAATTGTATCATTGGAGTTGTTTTGTGTGAAAACTTACTTTTATTTCTTTTAAATACATATGTTCTATGAGTAGAATATGATGAAGTTTTGAAAGAGTTATCATTGAGACTAATATTATAGACATTTTGAAGCTTATAACAAGTCGAACATTCCTTCTTTGACAACAAGTTTGACATAACTACACGAGAAAAGTAATATACGTCTATATATATTTATATATGTATGTATGTATATAATTTGTTTGCTACTTATATTTACATCATCCAATATTCAGATATGATTTAATTTATGAACACAGGCAAGTCTTGAAAGTGTGCTGTTCATCCAACTCATTTGGCACATACATGTTAATAAATTGGGGGTTTTATTTGCTGTTATACATTGAACAGCTATTAAGACGCCACAATAGATTGACTGGATTCTATCTAGTTTAATTTTAAAGGCTTAATGGCAAATTATGATCCCGCATGCCTTACCAACAATCAAAGCTTTTTTACAATATTTTTCATGTATTTTTATCGTCTTCAGCTTACTTCTTGTGCTAGTGGGAGAAAATATAGACTATCTTTAGACCAAGATGATATATGGTATACAATGTTTTGTTCAAGTTGTTGTCTGATTGATTATTTATTTTCTATAAATATATATATATAAAAGTCCAAATTATCTGAAAAGACCAATTCTTCATGAGAGATGACAAACTATTCTTCTGAATTTAAGCTTGTCAACAAACACACACACACACACACACATATATATATATATATATATATATATATTTAAAGTTATCAAGCAACCAAAATTGCTGCATTCCGGGAAGTCCATCGTCCCCTCGTAGAGAATGAATGAAACTGAGTGGTCCAAGTCTGCTGCATCACTTTTAACTTTTTCAAGGCAGGATTGGGGCCTTTAAAGGGTAGACTAATGAATCTCGGCTCCTTCCTCGCAGCAGCACCCACCCAGTCCGCAGCCCACTCCAGACCTCAGCAGCAAAGAATCTCAACGTGCTGGTAAAACGAATATTCCATTTCCGAGTGGGCACCCGAAAGTCAAGGGAAAAAGAAAAAGAAAAAGATCCAGAAAGAACACAAACGAACAAACAAACAAAGCCAATCAAGCAACCAAGCGACGAGGACGCATTCACACTTGGTGTGTGATAGGCCATTCCAACATGTACCATTAATTCAAGCACGGACGCGCCATTCCATGGACCAACTCAACCACGTCAGACATAAGATGAACGTGAATGAAAGTCGATGTAAGTCGTAGAAACTATCTCCCCCCCCCCCCACACAACACAACAGAAATAGGCCGCGCGACTGCCCCACCCCCACACCCCATCCACCACCCCACAACATTCATCCTTTCATTCATTCATCCAAATACCGATTTAGCGCGTGGGTGGGGAGGATGCCGGGGGCCGGCCAGGCATGGCAAAGCAAGGTAGCGACGGGAGAGGGAGGGAGGGAGACAAGTTGGTTTCCTCCGTTAATGATTTCGCACGCCCCCTCTTACACCTCCCTCCCTCCTCCTCGGCGTCACCTTGCGGCGTTGCGTTGCCTCTCCTCCTCTTCGTCCTCCTCGCCATCATCATCATCAACAGCAGCAGCAGGAGCAGCTTCGGAGCCACGCTCATTCCGTTCTGCACCCCTCCCCCCCTGGCTATGGTGGTTGTTGCCAGCCTTTTCTTCTAGTCGCCGTCGTCATCGTTGTCGTGGATGGTCGCTTGTTTCCGCCGGCTTGTCAGGTCAGTGTCCGCGTGGATACGGAGATTGTGACCAGCCAGGCAGGCAGGCAGCCAGCAGGGTTAGGCAGGCTTTTGAGGATCGAGAACCCCCTTGGAGTGGGGTGGGGTGGATGGGAGGAGCGTCGACGGGGAATTCGTCACCGAGTGTGTTATGCTTGTTTTTCGGCGATCTGGCGGGGAAGTGGGGATTGGAGTGGAGTTGCGGTCGCGGTGTTAGTGCAGGTAATGAAGTGGGTGGGAGATTTCGGCTGGGTTTTTGGTTTCTGTTGCGCTGTGCCTTAGGGGTTTATCCGACGGGATTGCGCGTTGCTTTGATGGTGCGCGCAATGGATCCCACGGGATTCGTTTCACCGCTTGGTTGTGGTGGGTGTTTAGAATGGTTGTGCAATTAGCGGATCCCTTCCATGTCTGGTGCTTCGGTTTGTTGGACTGTGGACCTCTCTGCGTGACGAGAAAGCGCACATCTTGCTAAGTTCGTGGCTGTTGTCAGGGTGCCCTACAGTTTCGAGCTTGGAATGGATTTCTCTCGTGGGATTATAAGAATCTAGACCTCTTTCTGCGGTTTGCGGTTCGAGCGTGCGACTTCGGTTAAAGATTTTTTGTATGCCACTACCAGTGCCGACTTTTTTGTCGTCTACAGTGAGCGTTCTAGGTTGGGAGTAGGGAATGTGAATCCGAGTTCAATCCAAGACTTTGGACTTGCTATCTTCCCCCTTGTGTGTCAGGAGCAGTTCTGGGAATAGAATGGATTTCAATGCTGTCCCGTGTTTTGAACGATTCAATATTTGACTGATGCAGGCTGTTGCCTGTTATTCGTTTCGTGTACGCAGAGCTTGTATCTGAACATTCCGTGTACTTTTCAAGGCGTATGCGCTTCTAGGGAGGCCTGAAAACTGGGTTGCGGAAGAGCAATAGCGTATTTGGTCGGTTGAGAGCTATGTCAACCTGGGATTCATGGGGGTTAACGGGTCAGATGCTATGGAAGTACAGCGGAGGTAGTGTCTTTGCAGCTTAACCAGGATACCGCGGCTTCAAGCTGGAACTTTTGCACTGCAAGGGTGTTCATGCTTGGCAGCTCTAAGGTAGTCGCCATGAACGGGGAGGCTAAGAAGTTCGTGAGGTTTCGGCCATTAGAATCTCAAGTATCTATGGGTTCGGATCCCAAGACGCCACTTCGATCATCGTTTAGCGTTGACAGCTCCGGTGTGGCGACAGGGCGACGAGGTTGGCAGCGAAGCTCGAAGGGATTCTTCAAGCTAGGCCAGTCTTTGAAGTTCAAGAGCTCGTCTCAGGAATATGATGAGGACATGCCCAAAGATTTGCAGTGGAAAACCTTGGACCCTTCAAGCCCTTCGTTATACAAATGGAACACGTTCTTCCTTGTCTCTTGTTTGGTGGCCATCTTCGTTGATCCTCTCTTCTTTTACCTCCCCAAGGTGGACTACAGTAATAGTTGCATCAGGATATCTAGAGACCTGCAAGCGTCGGTAACTGTCTTCCGAACCATCTCAGATTTTTTCTACGTGGTTCATATGGTGCTCCGTTTCCGAACGGCGTTTGTTCGACCCTCAACTCGCGTGTTTGGACGTGGGGAACTTGTGACCGATCCCCGGGAAATTGCCATCCGGTATTTGAAATTCGATTTTTGGATCGACTTTGTTGCAGTGTTGCCAATTCCTCAGGTCAGTCTCCTGTACTTTCTCTGGTTTACATGTGCCACTTTTAATTTTCACCCGTAACTGAGTTTTACCATTTGCGACAGTGGGTCATTGACCAGTGTGATGGTGCTATCGCAGGTTGTTATTTGGCTCGTGGTTCCACACGTGGATGGTGTTACTTCGCTGAACATAAATACAAAAGATGCTTTGCGGTACATTGTGGTGTTTCAGTACGTGCCTCGTATGTTGCGTATCTTCCCTCTTCTGTCGAAAATGATCAACTCCACTGGCGTGCTTCTGGAGACTGCGTGGGCTGGGGCGGCATTCAACTTGATTTTGTACATGCTCGCAAGCCACGTAAAATCCTTACCATAGGAACCTTGATGCATCAGCGCGTGTTTCCTGCCATGTAATGTCGCCGGCGGCAAAAAATGTTTGAATTCACTGCAACATTACTAATCCCTGGCATCTGTGGGCCCTTGAATTTTGTAGATCCTAGGAGCAACTTGGTACCTGCTATCCGTGGAGCGGCAAGATACCTGTTGGACTGATGTGTGCCTTCGCAATGCGCCCGACAAGGCTTTGTGTCGCAGAGAAATTTTTGATTGCGCCTGGCAAGGCGCGGCAGTGAATGCTTGGTATGGAAACTTCACCACTGATTCGAACGTATTTTGCAATTACATTGCAGTGCCTATGGGTGCAGACACGTTCAATTATGGGATCTACAACAATGCCATAAGCAATACTATCTCGTCAAGCGACCTTGCTTTTTCCCAGACCTATTTCTTCTGCTTGTGGCAGGGCTTGCTAGCTCTTAGGTATGTTCATTCTTTTCCTTGATTTGGCTTTCCCTGCTCAGCTTATTTCGAAACCAATCAAACAGACAGCATGCTTCGAAGAGTCTCCTGCTTAGCAAGATTGAATTAGTTCACTCCATTTTCTCTAGGTCAGTAGTTTTAGCTCACAGCAAGCAAAACTTGCAAGGACCCCTTCGTGTTGATTCGAAAATCTAGGTTAGTACGTTATTATTCATGTGGGATGACGCATGGGGTGACGCGTGGGACGATATTTTCTTTGCAGTTCGTTGTCCCAGACCTTGAACGTGAGTACATTTGTAGGGGAAATCATCTTTACCATAATAATTATCATCGTCGGCTTGTTCCTATTTGCCTTCTTGATCGGCAACATGCAGGTGAGTTCCTCTCTCTATCCTTTTGGAGCATGTAGAGTGTTCATCATGTTATTATTTCTTCTTGAGGACAGATTTCACTTCATTTTGTGGACCAATTTCAACCAATTTTGAGCTTCGGGCATCAGAGTGTAACTATAAAAATGGTGTCGGAATTTTCAGACATACTTGCAATCGTTGACACTTAGGCTGGAGGAAATGCGAGTGAAACGTCGAGATACTGAGCAATGGATGCGTCATCGCAATCTTCCCCATGATATAGTGCAGAGGGTCCGTCGCTATGATCAGTACAAGTGGGTGGCCACTCGGGGAGTGGACGAAGAAACGCTTGTGCAGAGTCTCCCCTCTGACTTACGTCGAGACATCAAACGTCATCTCTGTTTGCGACTTGTTCGCAATGTAAGTTGGATTAAGTTGCTCTGGTTGTCGATTTCCATCTCGTATGAGTGTATACGAAAAACTGTCTTGTCGTTTGAAGCTGTGGATATCTGTTTGTTATTAATCCGAAGGCTTCTTTTCCCCTCGTGTTGTAGGTGCCATTCTGTGATCAGATGGACGAGAGTTTGCTCGACGCTATGTGCGAGCGCCTGAGGCCCGCACTTTGTACCGAGGGCACACACATCCTCCGAGAGGGCGATCCAGTCAACGAAATGTTTTTCGTTATTCGTGGTGAACTGAAAAGTGAGACTACGAACGGAGGCCGAACTGGATTTTACAACAAAGCAGTCCTCTCTAGTGGAGATTTCTGTGGTGAAGAGCTACTCACCTGGGCTTTGGATCCCAAACCCCAAAGTCATCTCCCAACCTCCACGTCCAGCGTGAAGGCATTGAAGGAGGTAGAAGCTTTCTCTTTGTCTTCAGATGACTTGAAGTTTATTGCCAGCCAGTTCCGACGACTTCACAGCAAACAACTGCAACACACTTTCAGGTTTGTGTTTCGCACCCTAAACCGTACCACCTTTGACCGTAACATGCTAACATTGATGTGGCTGCCCGATGTTGACACATGTTGCTTAAATACTCGACAGTAAGTCTTTCAATTGTGCCTTTTTCAGGTATTATTCTAATCACTGGCGTACATGGGGAGCCTGCTTCATCCAAGCGGCGTGGCGAAGATACCAACGGCGACGGTTGGCGGAGCTTCGTCGCAAAGAGGAGGATCAATACTTGTCCCTGCAAGGGGAACCCACAGACAGGATCAGTCTGGGGGCGACGATCCTCGCCGGGAGGTTCGCGAAGAATGCCATGCGCGGAGTGCAACGGCTTCGAAGCATGCACGCTGCAGAGCTTGCGCGAATCTCCAACATCCCCAAGCCTTCGGAGCCAGACTTTTCCCAAGACAATTGAACGGCTTGATTTGCGTATTGTCACTGTTCTTACAGCACCCGATTCTGCGTGGCTCTCTGGCTCCACAGGATCCTCTTCTGCTAGTCCCTTGAACAAAAGCTACACTCGATCAATGTCAGTTGTATCAGGCCTCCGAGATTGTGTGTGTGGCGAAGGTTTCATCTCATCAATCTTGTGATTCTCTGAGCTCACGGTTATGCGTGGAATTGAAGTCTAGATGTCGTTTTTCTTTGTGTCCTGCAAGGCTCGTCACTGTTTCTAGTTGGCCAGAAGACCAAGGGAGTTGCCTTGTGTGTACCAATAGCAATGCCAGGGAGAGAATGCTTACTCCGTATAAACTAGAACAAAGCTTATCTAGAAATTGTATAGGGCTGGCGCCCGCCATTTTCTTTTATTACTATCACCATCCCCACAGTGCCGGTCCTCGAAGCGAGGCGTGGCAATTCTTTTGGAGATTCGCCGAGCTTCTGCTTCCTTTAGAATAGTTCTTGATTGTTTCGGTGAGATGGGTCATTGGTGTTCCCGCAACCGACAGCGGCTCGTGGGTTATCGACTAGTGTACATGGGGAAATGTGGCTTAACTACTCTCTGAAAAACCTCATCTTTGGCACAACCTTGTTCGGGATAAAGTCCAGAAATGACGAGGAACACCGTCTCGGGCTGTTTTTGTCGGTCAAGTGCCTCTACCGACAAGGCCAATGTAGCAAAAGGTTGGTGTCACTTGCAGTTCACTCGTCCAATTCTTAAAACCGCGCAGTTGTATTCATACTTTACACAGTTGCTAAGGTCTATCATTTGACCAATGAACGTCTGTATGGCTTTCTAACTAGTAAATGAAATTTTAATGTTTCCCTTTAGAAATAACCACAATTATGTACCTAAACAGACACTGTCATATCTTGATGATTGGTAGGGTCTTTCATCATTTGGTTTTTTTGAACACATATTGGACATGAAAACACGAGATATGTTCTTAAACTTGTGTGAAAAAAATGTCTATTATAATATATTCATTGTTTTGCCATTTATTTCTAAATTTGCTTTACCGTTTGAGTTTTTGTATCAGGGGAGTACTAACTTTTTATTTATACGAAAATATATATACACACATATGTATGTTTTGTAAAATTATACTTTATTTTCTTCTTTATTATAGTGGTTGTGATTTAAAAAAAATCTTAGATTAAACATTATATATTTTTTTAAAGACAGAAGTATGATTTTTTTTTGAAAATTTAAAAAATGTAATTTTTCAAGTAAGAGGCAATTATTAAGGATCTTAATAGGCATGATTTAGTTTTGAATTAATGATTGTTGATTAGTCAAAATATTGTAAATATATATATATATATATAAATGTTTATTCTTTCAAAATTGATTTAAACAACTATAAGGTTTGAATTTATGCAAAATGTTTAAAAAAATTAAAACAGAATCAATTTGTAATTTAATTTTATTTGAATTTGTAATTTAAAAGTTACATTCTATTTGAGTTTTGTTTTATTAATATATTTAAAAATTATTTTATACATATATATATAAATTTCTATAATAAAAAAATTAATTTTCTTATAAAATATTTTTTTGTTTAAATGATTTAAATCAAGTATCAAAAATTTTAATGTTAATTTCTTAATTATACATATGTAAAAAAATATATAAAGAAATTGTATTATTAATTCTCCATCTTTTGACTATCTCTATTTAAAATTAAAAAACTTGGTTTATTATTCAAATAACATACACCTTGTTTAAAATCATATAATTCCTCATCACATACAAATGATCTAATTTTCACCTATTTATTAATAAATTTACAAGTTTTTATTTTTTAAAATTTAACATGTGAATTTACTCATGAAGATAAATTGATTATGTGTCTAAATGTTGTTGTGTTGTAATATGGACATAAGGTGAAAAAGAAAAATATGAATTATACTTTAGAAAGACATGGATAAAAGATAGGGAGATAGTAATTACATTTAGTGTTAATATTGCATTTTTATAAAAAACCTTCTACTTACTTTGTGGGACCATAAACAAAAAAAAAGTGGATTGAATAAGCAAATAATATAGGCATCTTTAGGAGGATGTTAAGAGTAGTTTCTAGCAAGTATTATCTTAAAAAGCTAGAAATTGATACATGGAAAGGACATGTGGTGAACTAGGGTGAAAACTAGACCCCAAGGCATAAAGCCACACATCTATGGCAACCTTGGGATTTTTTGTTGATCAAAGAATAAGGCTAGAGAGCAAATGTACTAGTATTTGTTTGAGTGTTGATATTAGATGATTTGGATTAATGTTAAGTTGTTGAAGGCTTTTCAAATTTGGAGGTATTTAAAGTGATTTGAGATTTTGAGAAATATATATTTTTTTACATATTTAAAGATTTTTTAAACATTGTAGCAAATTGATAGATGAAACTTTGTTAGATTGTAAGTTTTCTTATCTTTAATGTGTTTTGTGAAGTTTAGAACAATCAAATGGCTAGATTGAAGGTTATTAAAATCCAATTAGATTTAGAAACTTGGATTTTAGAATTCAAACATTAGTGCATATTTCTTTGAACTTGGAGAATCTGCTATTTGGATTAAGATGATTTTTTGTGAGGTTTTAGTTAACTTAGATTGAAATATTTTTGTAAATTTTGAGGGCAATGGAATAGTACAATGGGAAGAAACAATCATTGGTAGATTAACATCAAGATTGAAGAAAGAAGCTAATCAACATTGGAGTAGATTAAGAGCATATTCTCCCAATTAGTAAATTAGATTTTCAAAATTTTCTTGTGCTTATCAATAACCAATATATTATAATGCATACAAATTTTGAAAGAACATCAATAATTTGATTAATAATTATTTTGGTTTTAAATCTATTATAGAATTTGAATAGAATATCTTAAGGATCTTATTAAGATTTTAAAGATTAGATTAGGATTTCATAAGGATTTCATTAGGATTTGTCACGATTTGGTTAGAATTTCATTAAAATTAGGATTTGACTAGGATTTTATTAAAAACTGCAAAGAATTAATTAGCATTTATTAGGATTTGATTAGTATTTTATTAGAATTTGATTAGGATTTACTTAAGATTTGATTAAAGTATATTTGAAAGTTTTTTTTAAAGGTTTTTTTTTAAATTTTTTTTTAATAGATTTTTAAAGATCTATATATATATATAGTTTTTAAATAATTTCTTTGATTTTTTGTGCTTTTTTTAATGATTCTTTTAGGATTTAATTAATATTTTATTAATTTTCTAAAAATTCAATTAAAGTCAATTTAAGATTTTATTGGAATTGTTAGTTTCATAGTTTATTGCAAAATAAAGGTTACCTTCCATAGCTAAGTACTTGGTGCATTCTTAGACAAGACAACATGTAAGATGACAACATATCAAATAAATAAAGATTTTTATACCATTCATAACATTACTTGTAACTAGCATAGTTTGTGGCTAGAAATTTTGATTTTTTTTAATCTTAAATCTTTATAATATTACTAAACATATCTTTAAATTTTCCATCATATATACAAATTTATTATTTTTTTACAATATTAGCTTATTTTATAGAAGATATACTTATATTTTTTATGAGTCACTTAAAAAAAATATAGAAATATAATAAAATATCTATATTAGCTTTATTTTTATCATAGTTGATATTTTTTTTGTTAAATTTTTTTTACTATTTAATTATCATTTTTTAAAAATAATATGGATTTTAATATTTATAAATATTTTATTTGTGCTTTGTATTTTAATTTTTTTAGATTTAAAGATTTTTATTAAGTACTTAGATAAATTAAATTTAGTCAAATATTTAAAGTTTCTTAATTTATTTGGAATTAATTTCAAGCTTGAGTATCCATGTAAATTAAGTTTTTTCAAAGATATAAAGTTGTACAATTCACTTGGAAATAATATTAAACTTAAGCACTCAATAATAGCAAATAAAGTTAAAGATATAAATCTATGTAATTTATTTGATAAGGATTTTAAGCTTGAATCTAAATGTGAGAAAATAAAGAAGAAGTGTATTGCTAAGATAGAAGTTTTATGAAGCAAATACAAAAGAATTCTCTACCTTACTATCAAGGATTGAAGAAAACAAACGCTTAAAATAAATCTCTATTTCTACTCCTTACATAACACAAGTCTATAGTTTAACCACATGGACTTTCTAGTGTGAATATAGAAACAACTAGCCTAGTCAACAATGTCCAATTAGCATGTAGATACTTGTCTTGTTAGGCTGTATGATAACTTGATAGGATATGGTGGCTAAATGGTATTACCACCAAAAAATGGAGGCTATAACTTGTCAACTAATAAAGTGGTGTCAATAGCCTATTCTACTTTATGTCTAATAGGAGTTATACACTCTATTAACACTCCTACTTAATGACGTATTAGACTAACTTAATTTGATGATTTCCATCATTTCTTTGAATTTATAATATTTTTCATGAATTAGATCTTTAGTCAAAACATTTGCAACCATGTCTTGAGTCTCACAAAAAACTAAGTTGATGTCACCATTATCAATCTTTTCATCAACAAAGTGATGATAAATTTTAATATGCTTAGTAGTAGCGTAGAATGTAGGATTCCTTGAAAGAAAAATGTAACTTTGATTATTATTGAAAATATTCAAAGGACTATCTTATAAAAATCTAATGCCTTTAAAAAACCTATGAAGCCAAATTACCTCCTTTGTAGTATGAGTAGCTGCTATGTACTATGCTTCAGTGGTAGATATTGTGACTGTTGGTTGCTTCTTGCTATTCCAACAAGTTGCACTACTAGCCAACAAGAATGTTTAACTAGTAGTTGAACATCGTATATCAATATCTCTTACATAGTCTACATCAGAATAACTAATCACTTGCAATCTTGAAGAGCTTTGACCATATTATAGCATATAATATGATATGCTTTAAAGATATCACAAAATTTATTTCACAGCTATTCAATGTTGTGGGCTAGGATTTGCCATGTATTGGCTAATAACTCCTACTAGATATGAAGTATTGGCCCGAGTGCCTATCATTGCATACACTAAATTGTCCATTATATTTCTGTATGGAATCTCTTTCATTGCTTCAACCTCCTAAAAAATCTGTGGACTCATGTGTCTTGACAATTTATTGTTAGAATCCAAAGATATAGGCAAAGGTTTACAATCTTTCATGCCAAACCTTTCAAGGACATTTTCCATATACTTTTGTTGATTGGGATAGATTTTACAAATCTTTTGGTTCCTAATAATTTGTACATCTAAAATATAGTGGATTTCTTCTAAATCCTTCATTTTAAACCTCTTAGCCAAGTTTCTCTTTATTTCTAAGAGATTTTTTTTGTTATTAGACACAAGCATCAAGTTATCTATATAGAGTGCAATGGTGATGAAGAATCCATCAGTTGTCTAAAAAACATAAATGTTAGAATTAAC